AAAATTTAGACATTTAATTCCAAACTTCTTCATAGCTACAATTTCTTTAGGATTTGATGGGAAATTTCTGGACTCATAACCGAAAACCCTAACTTCATGATCAATTGAACTATCTTACCTCCCAAATAGTTATAGTTGTAGTCTTTTTAACATTGTGTACTTTATTATGCCTGGAAAAGATTTGCATCAGTCTATGTGTTTCCCATTATTTGAATTGAGTAAAAAATGCATATAGAGAGAAATATTTTTTCTTTTTTTATAGTTGTAGACTATTTAACATTTATTTATATCAAATGACAGGCTTTATGATGGTTATCATTAGCCCTTTAGTTGACTTTGGGCTTCACAGAGAGGAGGAGGAACATCAATGTCACAAATGTCGAGAGATGGAACGGAAGAGGGATTCACAGATGTAAAAGCGACAGACAGGAACAATGTTAGAGAAAAAGTTGAGGTGAGTACTATGGAAGTAGTTGAATATGACATACTGTGGGGTCATGGTAGTTTGAAGTCAGAAGTCAACTGTCGATTAATAGGCTTTTCCCTATAAGTATACGTTGACCAGGGTGCACCACGTGGAGGTAAGTCTATTGCGCACCCCGTCTTTTTAACATTGTGTACTTTATTATGCCTGGAAAAGATTTGCATCAGTCTATGTGTTTCCCATTATTTGAATTGAGTAAAAAAATGCATATAGAGAGAAATATTTTTTTCTTTTTTGCCTTGAAGTTCGCACTTAATGGTAAAACCATAAAGATTCATGTGTAAAATTTTGAATATTGACAGAATTTTTTTTATTTCTCGTTCGGTCATGTAATTCGAACTAAATTCATCATTCTGCGGGTAGGAAAAGAGAGACCATATGAGGAAGAAATTTTGAAACTGAAATCACTTGCTAAGCCTGCTCTAATCATTCCTTCCTAAGCACTACACACATTTTAGGAAAACAGGCAATGGAAACACCAAGTATTGACCGCTCTTTACAATTTAGGTAGCGCAATCGTATTTACTCGCCTAGATCTCGAAGATCTAACGCCCCTAGGCTGGAGGCTTTCATTCCCCAAAATTTTACTCGATTTTTGATAGCATAAGTGCTGCATTTTACTAAGATTATTATTATTATTTCAAATGGCAGGCTTTGTGATATTTATTATAGCTCCCCCAAGGGTGGGGGTACATTTATAACAGTTAATTAATAACAGTTTATTAGCTGTCTTCTTGCTTCCCAGTATCTCTGGCTTTCCGTCGTTGCCTTTAGGGCTGGACACCGAATCAGGTGGGTCTTCCTGTCTTTAGGGCTGGACACCGAATCAGGTGGGTCTTCTGTGTCTTTAGGGCTGGACACCGAATCAGGTGGGTCTTCTCAAATGTAGGTTACATAGAGGGCATGTGGGTTGAGTGTATACGTAGGTTACCGAGTAAGGTGCGTCTTCTCCATTTCCTCCTGCAGGTTACATAGGGGGCATGATACCATTTCCTCCTGTAGGTTACATAGAGGGCATGTGGGTTTCCTTGTCTTTAGGGCTGGACACCGAATCAGGTGGGTCTTCTCCTTGTCTTTAGGGCTGGACACCGAATCAGGTGGGTCTTCCTGTCTTTAGGGCTGGACACCGAATCAGGTGGGTCTTCTGTGTCTTTAGGGCTGGACACCGAATCAGGTGGGTCTTCTCAAATGTAGGTTACATAGAGGGCATGTGGGTTGAGTGTATACCTACGTTACATAGAGGGCATGTGGGTTGAGTGTATACTCCCAGGTTACCGAGTAAGGTGCGTCTTCTCCATTTCCTCCTGCAGGTTACATAGGGGGCATGACCCCATTTCCTCCTGTAGGTTACATAGAGGGCTGCACCGTGGTCTGGAATTCTCTTCTGATTGAGGCCTTCATTGCGTGGAAAGACATAAGCCGGTCTAAGCATTGCAAAATCGTTATCCCCTTCTTAGCAATTGTTTAATCAAGCTCATTGCCTTTAATGCCACAGTGAACAGGAATCCATTGTAGGACCACTGTTTGGTTTTTCTCTCCCAGCAGCTCATAGCGTTTTCCACTGTTTGGTTTTTCTCTCCCAGCTTCACGGTCGCCACGGTCGCGACCCACCCGCATCCACTACTCAACAAAAACCAACCTCCTCCTCCGCCACCTCCGCCTCCGCTACAACCAACACTACTGCATAGAAAACACGTACTTAGCTCGGCACTGTACATTGAAGAAGAGGCGACTCAACTCAACTCCACTCTACACTTCACTTCACTTCCTCGCGCTAATTCCCAGCTCCGTTATTCCACATTATGTCACAATTGTGACTCAGCATCTAGGCAACAAGGTTACAACGCCATTACCCACATCACTCTTCCCTCTGCTCCAGATCCAATTCATCCTGACGGTGGTGATGCAAATGTGACAACGCATTGAGGCATCAGCATCTAGGCAACAAGGTTACATCGCCTTTACCCACATCACCATGGCTTCTGCTGTAGCACCACTTCATGCTCATACTTTCGCTGACAAACGCCACTATTTCGCAGTTCAATCTTCCTTCGCCGTCTCATCCACCTCCTTTCTCCACTCTACACGAACCCTGGAGAGCACGCACCGCCTACCACCAACTGCCGCAAAAACAAAGCAACAATACGTCTCATCTAAATATCTCCAGAAGATCAACTCACCGACGCACCCCACAATCATCCCACCTCCTCAACGCCTCCTTTTTATCGCCGCCATCCACCTTCCACGTTGCCGTTCTCACTCACCGCTTTCCTACAAAATGCGCACAAAACATCGCTCCTATCACCTACTGACCCATGGTGGTGACTCACCCGCACCCACCGATCAGACCACCACTACTCAAAAAACACCAACCTCCTCCTCCTCCTCCGCCTCCGACTCCGCTACAACCAACATTACAGCATAGAAAACACGTACTTAGTTCGGCTCTGTGCATTGAAGTAGAGGCGACTCAACTCAACTCCACTCTACACTTCACTTCACTTCCTCGCGCTACTTCCCAGCTCCGTTATTCCACATTATGTCACAATTGTGACTCAGCATCTAGGCAACAAGGTTACAACGACATTACCCACATCACTCTGGCCTCTGCTCCAGATCCAATTCATGCTGACGGCTATTGATTGATAACCAAAGGGCACCCTACATTGATGTAGGCTTGCTCAGCCTTTTAGCATCTGTGATCTAAACCCGATCGTACAAATGATTAGGTGAATGAATTGTCAGAGCAAAAAATTAATTTTGTGCATGAATTCTAAGAGAGGAATACAAATCTTTCAACATGTCAAAGATGAGTATTTTACCGCAAAAAATTTAAACGGGATTTTTCATTTCCACTTCCAGCAAATGAAAGCATCGAGTCACCTCAATCAACCACTCCAATTACAATCTCAACTATAACCCCAACTTAAATTCACTTAAATTAGTGTAAATAAATAATTTCCATTAAAACGAGTAAACTACGAGTTATTTGAAAATGATATTGTCTTAATAAAATAGCTGAAACTGCATATACATGTAAAATGCAAGCAATCGGACAAAGTTGAGCATTCTTTTGAATGAACTCTCAATCACTTGCCATGCATATTGGTTATTGAAGCATTACTTACATGCAGATAAAAGTAAGAAAAAATATACTCAATAAAATCAATTCTTTAATATGATTATACCGTCGTACTATTTCAAATATTCATATTTCTTGATCTTGTCTCAATAACGAAAGGTTAGTTTTTTGAATTCTCAACTCGAAGTAAAAAGGCCTGATTAACTTAAACGCAATTTAAGCAAATGATAATAGAATTAATTAAAATGACCTTCAGTTGAATGACAAATTTGAAAAATAACCAAGTTTTCAGTTGTAGAAAATTAATGACCATGTGAGCAAGTTTGGTAAATAAAACAAATGAATATAAGGCCACAATTTTTAAGTTTAATGCCCTAGTTTTAAAGCAATCAGAACTAAATTGTGGCAAGGACATAAATTTCTATGGGAGTACACAACGCATGGGATTCCCCATGGAACATACTGGAATACGCGAATGTACGTTCTTTAAGCCGCCGGCCAATTTGTATAATGATTTTGACTTTGTTTGTTGCCACATAATATGCTCCGCGAATGTCCTCCACCTCAAACGAAATTGCAACATTAAAGATTGAACTCACCTGAATCCATTAATACTAAACAGTCTTTGTACATTTTTCTATAAGACAACGGAAATTAACTATTTTTCAATATATTCGAACATGAAAATAGACTCAATACAAACTTCAAAAAAGGCATTTTATGGACATTAGGCTCGTGATTTAATTTTACTGCGCTAGAGTAACAAATTTTGCTTATATCTTTTATTGTGGTAACAAGGTTATTTGTGAATAATGAGAAGGTGACCTGGATATTGGAATATCATTATCTTAATAGTTACGACAAGAAATTAGTTTACGTCAATACGATTATATTCTTGGTTGTTTTAGCATCATTTAATTGTTAATTGTTCGTTTCAAATCACTTTTACGGCATAGGTCACTGAGATGATGCCTAAGGCACGTGTGACGATTCATCAAAATGTGCTCAAAGACATAATCAAATGCTGATTTGAGAACCTCGGACCACCTTTAGTTTTAAAAGGTCATCTTTATATGAAAGCCGGGTTGGCGTTTTAAAGTAAATTTCCGTCGTTTTGTGAGGAGGTTGCAAAACAAAAGACTAACGTAAGCTGTACTTCTCAAAAGGAGAGCCCCTTTATTGAAATATGGTTCCACCAATTCTTATGAGTAAACTATTTTCTTTTTATATATTGGTCATTCCTGAAGTCGCTGTTACCCCTATTAGAAGGCATCTGGCATGATTGGTGCTTTCGTTTTAAAAGATATTTCAAGTGGAGCAGTTCCAGTTAATGCTTCATTTAGTAATTCCCTTTGAAATAATCGGTCAAATATGTGTGTGAATATATATTTGGTGAAGAAGCAATTGAACACTCTAATCAACTTCATAGTGGACTCTGTTTCAGTCTTCATTGGTTATAACATCATTCAGTTGGTCACATTTGTTGGTTTGACGAAATGGTCAACTTCTACACCATAATGTTCATTTATAACGTTGCGCCATCATTCGGCAAGATGGAATGTAGAACCGGCTTGAACCGGCTCGATAATGCTTGAGGATTAAACTTTCACGGAGAACAATTTCATATGGGGTAAAACCAATTTATTTATTGAATAAAATTTGAATAGTCTTGAAAAAATAGGCAAATGTAATAAGATAGCTCTCAGATCAAGAATAATTTGAATTGCATTCAATCGGCGCATTCATCTTCAACTACACCTTTTTATACAACAATTCACACTCATGGTCACCGAATTTCACAACCTATAAGGAAAAGAATTATTAGTATTTATAGAATTTCAAATGAATGTTGCTAAAAAACTTTGTCTCACCGTTTTCATTTTCCCATTTTCAATTGTTCTCAAAGTTACGATCTTTATTCCATCCCGGCTTTGTTCGAGCTTCATAACGCCTTTATCGATAGTGATTGTCGATTTAAGGACATGGTTGTCTGGAGTGCCCACCTGGAAGTCTTTTCCAAGATAAAATACAACTTCACCGTCCTGAATATTGTTCTCATAGAAATATTTATATTGGCCCTCCGCTACTTCTGAAAATTCGATGATGTTCTTCATAGATTCGACAGAGTCAAAATGCTTTTTATCCAAACCCAATTGCTTCAAAAGTTCTGGTAAACCCGAGCATTTTTCTAGCACCCACTTTCCAATAAATCGTCTCATGTCTATTTCTTCTTTGGTGCTCTTAGCAGGATTCAGCCTTATATACCAGTAAATTCACATATTCACTGATCACATGATGGTATAACAGACAAATGTAATGACATCAAGCTTAGGTTTATAGCAAACGAGCACATTTATCTCTCGTTGTAGTTATTTCCACTTATGAGTGATGCAACCAACGTGGTCAATCATGATAGAAATAAACAACTTTATCGATGATTATAAAATTTTATTCCCTCAAAATATAAATTATTAGACATAAAAAAGTTTACCATTGTCACGTGAAAAAAGTTGTATCTGCGAAACTAGCTCGCTCGTTCTTCCACATGTAATCAAGAAAATAATGAAAAAGTACTGCTGATCTTTAGATTGTCGTCTTTGGTCTGTGGAAGGCGGAGTCCCCTCGAATATTTGCATTCGCGGAATGATTCAAGGATGTAAAAGAGACAAACAGACAAAAAAGCAAAGAAAATGTAAGGTAAAGGTAACAGAAATTCGAGGAGTGGAGAACAGAACAGTGATTCATGGTTGTAAAAGAGACAGACAGGCACAAAGGCAAAGAAAAGTGGGGGGGAATATGGCATAGCGTGGGGTCATGGTAGTTTGAAGTCAGAAGTCAGCTGCCAGTAAATAGACTTTTTTCTGTATGAGTATACGTTGCCCAGAGTGCACCACGTGGAGGTGAGTCTATCACTCACCCCATATGTGCTAAATGTGGTAACCACTAAATCTCCTCTTGGAAAGCATATGGACACGCAAGAGCTGAATGAGGAATGCACGATAGAATTTTTCCGTTGAATGGGATCAAAATTTGAGTTATGTATCACTGAAAAGGATGCGGGGGCTCGCAACATAAACAAACATTGGCTCATTATCAACTTGGTTCTTGAACAAAGTCGAATAGTATACATTAACATTAAAAAATACCAAAGCAACCCCGACGGTACA